GCAATTATTTTCAATAATATGATTTCCTTCTAGCTTATCGTTTCCAACAGATTTAGCATCCCAATCAGACGTGTTAAGCTGTATCAGAATCTTTGACTAGACATCAATTCGATGCTAAAATTATCACGAAGACCGCTACAAATCATGATGAACATACACTTCTGTAATTCACGTTCACATGAGCTTTTCCCGCGTATGTCAACGTTAAAAGCCGTTTTGTATTGGTTGCCTTCACCTTGATAAAGTAAAAGCTCCTCAGTCCGGATGGAATGATCACGAATTATTGTACTGCGAAGAGAATCGAGTCCGGTGGATGTTGACCTTCCCGTAAACTCCGCGAGCATGCTTTTACCCAATGAAATCTATTGGGTCTCTCCGCAGCATCCCTAATTAACTGCATTCTCCGAGAATAACCCTGCATGGTTTCAGTAACAGACTCTTAAATGAACAAAACTGAAGCGTCCCAGGTGCAACAAATCCGCTTGCCACACTGTCTGTTCAGTCTTGGCGATCTATAGTGCGCGTAATTCCATCAGGGAACACTGTTATGGTGCGCATTGCCATCTTTCGTATTCAATATTCATTGTCTGTCTGTGTAAAACTCAATTTTACTGAATTATCACAACCCTTACCGGCATTCCCGACTTCTTGCACCGGTTACTTTGAATTTTCATCATATAATACGTGACCATGAACTGTCGCCATTTCTTTTAATTTACTTACCTAATCCAATGTTGTCTAATAATTACCCAATCATAACGCATAGTCATCTGCACATCTGTACATTTGCTCTGAGTGATCAGCTGGAGACAAATGGGCCGGGGTCAGCACTGACTCCTCTCGCTGTTCTACACATTTTCCTCCCGAAATTCTTCGGCCTCAACTCATCATACTTGGACTAAAAAAAACGAGGAGTTCTTTAGCCTCCACGCACAAACTTTAGCCATGCCTCTTTAAGCGAGTCAGATTAGAAGCGTCAGAATAATCTGAGGTCAACGAACGTTGCTGTTTTTATTTCTTACCACGATCGATACTTCCAAGCTTGGTAAAAAAATGAGAAGATTTGGAGATCGTATGTATGCTGCGCAGTTGACTATCGTATTGGTGCCGGATGTCGGATGAAAGCAGTGTGTGTGTGTGTGTGTGTGCGTGTGTGTGTGCGACCATGGACTGTCAGTGTATCCACTTATTCAAACAGTTTACCTTACATGGAGCCTAAGAACCGTAAGCTTTTTTAGATTATTGCATAGCATGTTAGTTGCTTTTAGGGTTTAAAAATACAAAACCATTTACCGTTCATGTTACATTTACGATTTTGCCCTACAGTGATAGCGCATTTTCTATACATTTCTCCTTGTATTATCACCATACGGTATCCGATGCATCGACAATGGGGATACACTGATCGGGAGGGCATCAATGGATTGATTGCTAGATGGACATCACTACTCTGTCCAGAAGCTGACAATTCAGTAGCAGAACAAAACTTGGCCACTGTCAAATTCAAACGAGCAGGTTATATCGATTAGTTACATTCACCTGGTAACGCGACAATATGGTTGCAAGTTGACGATTTTAACCACAATAGATGATGATTTCGCAGCTATGAATGCTACGAAGTGCGCTGTAAAGTAGTTTGAAGTCTTCCGTTCAACAGATTATCTTTCTTGAATATTGAACATACTCATCTTTCCCCGGTATCTTGAAAAATAAGCTTTTTTGGCTAATCGTTAACGTGTTTCCATCAAACTGTTCCGATCCCTTCGCTACCGAGCAGTCTGGTGTGCCCGTTTGTCAAAGAGCTACAAATGAACATCACCAAATTTTCCCCATCCCACTTCGCAGTCCTTTTTCAATCCGCAGTAAATGGAAACATGTTAGCTTTTAAATTACCTTAGTTCGCTAAATGCTCAACAACTGGTTTACTAAAAGGACTGCATTCATAGAAGACGTGCCAAAATGTGTGACGATATGAGTGTATCGTTCAGACATTCTCTGATCAGTTTACGGATCAACATTTGATACCGCCACGATGGTCCGTTTGTGCTGCATACGATCGCCGCACCTCATTTGTTCACGAAGCTTGTCAACACCAAAATGTTTGTGGAAGATTCAACACTTTCACTTTCCCCAGATTACGTTTTTTTATCTTGCTCCCTCTCGCGGTGGCATTGCTACAGCTTCTGCTACGAGGCTATACTTTCAACGGTTTGGCTAAAGGATTGGGTATTTTTTGGTTTAATCATAATGGAAAATGGTACATTGGTCGTACTCTCTCCTCCCCCGTTTTGGTAGGGGAAAAGAACATTGGTGCGAATATGCGTTACCTCAAGAATCTAATCATGTAGATGAGATTAGATTTACTTACTTTACTTTACTGCTGCTTGCTCTTTGGAAAGGATAAGCCGGCTCCAGACATAACCATGATCATGATCCTCGAGTTCTTTGGAAGTTTGATACGACAGACGTTCCCAGCTTTACTCGGTGTTTTTCATTTTGAGGGCGCACCTCTAGCCTTGGCTCAACCAAGTGCGAACTGCAGGGCAGCAGGAATTAGATTATTTTAGAGGCATTTTCAAACCTCGCTTAAAATCCCCATCTTATGGAAAGCCGAAACAAGGGTGATCTTAGGAAATGCAACTTCGTGTTTAAACGTTCCTATATCAAAACCCATCATGGTGTTTGCAATTGTACCAACTGTCTATTTTCAAATTTTTCCTACCGCCATCTGCTGCAGCTGATACTTCATACCCAGGGTTGCTCCCTTGATACACTAGCGCCTGTGAGCTTCAGGGGCACTTGTCGATGTACAATCCTTGCTATATGGAAATACAAACCCGGGTTTAACTTGTCCCGATCGAGCTCTTTCTTTTCTTCAGAAACACGAGTGTTTTATTTCCCAACTCCTCCGATCTGTGAGAATGAAACACGTATTAAATAGAACGTGAAACGACATTTGTGGACATCGGAACAGAAATTGATTGTAGAGAAGCCTACCTGATGCAAATGGGTTCAAATGTGACCAGACAGATTACCATAATGACTTTGAAGTCCTGTGCATCTCGATGTTTGTGTTTATGCCTGAAATAGGGGAGCGAATACAATAGATGTAACCAAGCCCTCTAAGTATTTGTAGTCTTTTGTTTAGCTGACGGAACGTGTTTTGGGTGTCAGTAGTAAAAGTCGCGGTTCGAATCTCACTCGGGCTAGAAAATCCGTACATTGCATAGGATTAAGAAGAAATAAAGTCAAAACAATTATCCAAGTAGCGATTACCTCAATTATTTCACATTTACAAATCCAATTAAATTAAACTACTTCTTGCTCAATTTTCAACTAACTTAATTGTAAACCACTGATTACACTGATTGCATGTTTAATTTGGTAATTCACTATCGGTGTCATGCAAAATGGGCATTCCGTGCGATGAGTGATCAAATTTAATCGAGATTTCCTCAAACCTCAATCGATATCGGTGTTAGCGTTCGAGGCAATACACCTAGAAAGGAATGACTCAGTTGAGTCAATGCATGCAGAAAATCATACCATATATTGCGCCCGAGAATAACCCATCGATCTATCTATCTTGTCACAACTCACTTTCGAATTGTTATTTTGGAAGATTGCGGTTTCATGGCGATATTATGAAAAGTTCAGTAGCCTCGGTGGAATTCGAACCCACGTACGACTTCACACAGCGCACGGTCTATCAGCTGAGCTACGCGGTCTCACTGATAGCATAACATAAGCATAAAATAAGGCCACAATCTGCCAAAATAACGATTTGAACGATTAACTTTGCCTCAAAAGGTCATTCGGTGGACTTCGGTGAATTCTAAGGAAAACCTGTCGTGGCAGTCAGCTTACATGCTAACTGATGGATGCCAATGCCTCTGTAAGTTGAATCGGTGATTTGAATGTGAAAAAATCAGTACTATCAGTGTGACCTCGCAGCTCAGTTGGTACAGCATGTACTGTACAACTCACTCTACCCGACCGAACGGGGTCAGTCACCGTCGGCTTCGTTCACTCTCGGTCCGGAGTCCGATGAATACCAATGACGAACAAAAAGTCAAACTTCCAGGAAACCTTTCAATCTCGCCCGGTCACACATTTAGAAAGTACTTTGCGCATCACGAATGGACTGACATTTTGATTGACTCGGTCCAGTAGATGACGTTTCAGGAACAAAGAACAAATAGCTAGAGGGTTCACTTCATATAGTTATTATTTTGTGTATTGATTTGTCTAATTACTTTTGTGTTGGGACTGCGATTGTGAAAGTCAGCTGAAATGATGTCCCTGAAGCGCCGGTGATATTAAGTTTCATTTATTTATATTGATTTCCAATCCCTCACTTCTCTCGGATCTATCTTTATTTTGCTCTATTGGTTCACCAGGACCTTTGTCCCATCATCTTTAAGTTCCAAACCCCATATGTGGTTTCTGTTGATCAGACGGTTCCCTTCTCCTTTAGATGCCTACACTTTAGCCACGAAGAAAATGTTTAGGCACTTTGTCACAAAATAGCCAATGGTTTGTTCCTCAGGATACAATTGGTAGAGTCTCAGATTGTTCCACGTAAGCAATCGAAAAACTAGAACCAAATATGAACATCTGACAGTACTTGTTTCCTTTCTGTACTGACAAACGGTTTTCCATCTTTAGAAATTATTGTGTGAATAGAAGTTTGGTCAATGAAATTCAGCCAATGAATTTTTCCGAGCTAAGAATGTGGCACAGAAGTCATTCGAAACGCGAATTCGATTTTCGTTTTTCCTGCTCCCGTCTCATCCTCAGGGACCGTTGTTAAAGCTACACTTGACAGCTAAATGGGTGGGTACAGTTTGATTCATAGAGATATGTATTACTCAGATAATGCAAATTTTCAATGGAACTTCATATTCACCATATACAATGAACTCTATTATTTCCAAATGTTTTTTGCCAATCTTTTAGCGGATAATCTTTTCCATTTTTTGGATCTACTTCCTTCACAG